TTTTAAAGATGTGAACTTCCATGTCTACTTGTAAATGGAGACCAAAAGTATTCTTCATTTAGTTAAAATTTACAAAATTCAAGTACTCAGAACTCTTAATAACCACGGATAAGAGATCAATTAAAATCTTAAGAACAGATTTGTGACTCAGAACTAACCAGAATAATCTTTACTGACATATACACAAAAAAAGAGGCAGCAACAATTTAAATATCCAACTGTCAGGTTAAAAAAACATAGCTATGGCTTTAACGGATATCGCTTCTTGAATCATGAAATTAATCAACTGGATTTTTTTTAATCACTATATACAGTATCGGAAACTAAATTTATTGCTAACTACAGCAATAAGTAATCAGTTACCTATATGATTTGTAAAATTCAGTTTTTGGAGATGAAAGCTCTAAAGATAATAGTAAAGTTATTAATTGAAATTATTGTAGAAGATTAATAGTCAAACTACTTTGGCTGTTCACTTCACACAAGGTCTCAACTTAAGTCAACTTTAAACACACTAAAAATCACCGTATGACTATGAAGACTGAGGTTCAGTGAGTAATCATGAAGTCAGAACTACACAAAGAACAAACTAGACAGAGTTTATAAAAGTGAAACGAACACCGACTACTTCTAAGTGTTTTTGGAATCTGAGCAAGAGTAAATAAATTGCTGACATTAGGGTGCCATGTCCCATTTGCTTATGAAAGAAAGTTTATCTTAAGAAAACTAAAAACAAAAAATTGAGTTATGTAAAATAAAGGTCGTATTACGTAATGTCACATAGCCAGCAGAATCTTAATTTTGTATAAAAAAATTATCCGAGGTTACAAACTACTATTAAGATCAATCTCATGATGATCTTTAGACTCTAATCCTAATTCACATCAGAGGCTTGTGTTAGTTCAATGTCATGGCTGAAAGATTCGAAGATAACAGAGAAAGCATTGGGTACCTTAAATAAACACTGCCATGGAGGAGGCAGAAATTCTGTCCTCACTCCAACTGGAAGCGGCGGAAACCTACGATCCCCACTGGCCTAGCACACGGCTCTGCCATTCCCGCAAACTCTGCCTTTTTGCTAATTCTCCCTGAAGTGCTGTCAGAGGATCCACCATCGTACAACAACAGCCAGCGTCCCTGCGTTTGAAGTACTGCGACCTACCGATGCCCTGCAGGGAGTACAGGACCTCACGGATGTCCCTTTCCAAAGCGACCCCTTAAGGAGCTGGATGGATGAGAAAGGCGCCCTGCCTTCCAGCCCGGCGGGAATTCTCACTGCCGCCGCCAGCGTTCAGCACGCACTAGGACTGCCCTGTTGCTTGCTGAGAAGGCTGCAAGGAAAAGAAGGTCTTCCCCTGCATCAGGGCCAAGTAAATCCTGTTTCTCAGTAACCATTGGAGGTTTCAGTGAAGACAGATGTGAGCTACTGTTTGTGGACACTGAAACTTGCTGGCCTGTTCGAATCTGCTGAAGCCATCATTGAAGTGCAGGAAACCTGCAGTGACTGTCATGATTTTTCCCACTCTCACGAAAGCATCACAGGCAGTTTAATAACCTTGAACATATTCCAAATAACATAAGAATAATTTCAGGGCTAACAGTTAATGTCCTTACATGTTAGTCACTGAGGAAAATAGAAATTTTAGCAAAATTCATTTAAATTATCACTGAGTATTATTTTGTGCATGGTGATGCCACATACAATTGCTGATGTGGTAGATACACTTTATAGCTGCCCTTTAGTTGTCCAAATTCAGGGAGTGCACACAGCTACAATATGAGAATTCACGGAAGAGGGAAAAATGAGTGCTAAAATGCTCATTTTAATTCAACTCGATTCAACCAATATGTATATCCACTGTGTACTATTTATTAAAAGGGGAATGAGAAGAATAATGGAAACTAGAACACTATGATATGCTTTCCTATCAAAAACAAATTTTGAGAAAAAATCACTGCAAAACCATATAGCACGCACTTGGAAGAGAGGGAGTAACGGGGACATTTAGAAAGATGGTCTATTAATAAACTGCCAATCTTTGTTCACTCCACACACACACGGCATCTGTGTGTCAGGACTATGCTAAAAACACCGGATCGCAGGCCAAAACGACAGCCCCGCGCTGAGGCTGTCCAGCAAGAAAGCAGACGACGACGAAAGGTTTCCTGTGTGCACGGAGTGCAGCCGCAGAACAGCAGGTGGAGGAGGTGCGCCCACCCGGCCTGGAGGCACACAGGAGGTGGTCAGGGAGAACCCCCAAGGGGGCAGCGCCTGGGAGGGCAGTGAAGGGCAGGAGAGCGGGTGGAGGCACCGGGGGTGGGCGCCCAGCCTGCCTGCTGCTGGGGGAGGCACGTGGCGAGGGAGGTACGCGCACAGTGAGTGCTCGGCCCCTTACCTGAGGATTCCACCAGCCGAAGATGGGAAAGATTTGAGAGAAAAAACTGGTTGCATCTGTACTGAACATTTATTAATGCAAGCTTTTTTCCCTTGTTATCGTTCCCTAAACAATACAGTATAACAACTGTGTACACGGCATTCACATTAGGTATTACGAGTAATCTAGAGATGATTTAAAGTACACAGCAGGATGTGCCTAGATTCCACGCAATACGACATCAGCTTATGCGAGGAACTTGAGATCAGTGGACTGTGGTGTCTGCGGGGTGCTGGAACCAACCCCCGTGGACACCGAGGGACACGAGCCTTAGCACTGCCC